GAATCTAAATATTAGTATTCTTAGTATTAACTATTATTTTAATTGTACAACTTTATAGGGTACAATGTGAATTTTTATACATATATACAGTATGCAAAAGACATATCAGAGTAGTTGACATTTCCATTTCCTTGAGCATTTAAAAATTTTTATTAACACATAATCATTGTACATATTTATGAGGTACGTGTGATATTTCAGTACATATATACAATAAGCATTGATCAAGTGGGATAACTAACCTTTCCATCTCCTAATCATTATTTTGAATTTGCAGTCTCATGAAGAGATTTTGGGTTTGTTTGATTAATTGATTGTGGTGCTAAGGATTGAATCCAGGGCTTCCATTAATATTAGGCAAGGACTACCACTGAGCTACAACCCTAGCCCTATGAAGAGATTCTTAAGATGATTTTTGTAAACTCTATGCCCAGGAGGTTTCTCTGTAGTGACTACAATATACACTCACTATGTCTGTCTGGACAAGGATACTTTAATTCTAGAGACTATGGTGGAATAGAGATTGCATACCTTGAGGTTTTCTTACACTTCTCTTCGATAAGGTGTACAAATCCCATTAAACTAAATTGTTTCTTAACAGCAAGAATCCAACCCTCATTTAGCTAGTTTTCTTGACAGTATGAAGGGAATCCAACCCCTAGTGTCAAATGTAACTTCTTCTCCCCTAATTCCTATTTGAATTCCATTGATTTTTCTAGAAAGTTATTTAGTTATTCAGACCCAAGGGTTCACAATATATAGTTTGTCACTCATTAGAATGGAATTTGAGGAGCCTGGAGGTATAACTCAGTGGTAGAGCACTTGTCTAAAAACATGCTTGGGGCCATGGGTTTAATCTCTAGCACAGGGGTAGGAGGGTAGGATTTGATTGTATTGCATTGTGGACTACTGTCAATATTTAGGATAAAGCAGACATGCTTGTGAATTAGACTGCATCTAGACTTTGAAAAATATAAATAATGCATTTATGTCAGAAAATCATAGAACTAATGCCTTAGAACTAACAGAAATTCAGCCTTCTCATTTTAAAGTGAGGAAATTAGACCAGGACCTAATGAAGGAAAATGATTTATCTAAAGATTCATCCTACTCCTAGGGCCAGGACAAGAAATTGTGTTTCTTTCATTTTAAACTTTAGGTAAGCTTTCTGCCTATTAAAATTCAGATCTGACCCCAATGAGATGGCACAAGCCTGTAATCCCCGTGACTTTGGGAGGCTGAGGCAGGAGGATAGCAAGTTTGAGACCAGCCTCAGCAACTTAGCAAGGTCCTCATCTGCTTACAAAGACCTTGTCTTAAAATAAAGAGTTGGGTATATAGCTAAATGGCAAAGCATTCCTGGTTCAATAACTAGCACACAAAAAAATTCATATATGAATGTCCTTCTTAGGCTCGAAGCCAGGATATTCTAGAATTTCCTTTTGCACAATAAGCTCTATTTTTGCACTTGGTGTTAAGGATGAAAGAAGTAGCACAACTCAAGGAAACTCAGGTCAATGGTATGGTTTCACATTAAGTTGTCTAGTTTGCTTTGTGTACGCAAGCTAACCCCAGTACTATCACAAATGAATAAATAAAGGAAACATATTTTCCAACACTACTCCTTGACTGAACAACTGGACGAAAAAATTGAATAGAGAATTATAAGTCCAAGTTCTGTAACTGGCACAATCTTCTCTTTTAACCCCAGACTCTGCACTTAGCAGAAGATAACATTTTGGATCTTTCTGTATTGCTATTAGAATTATATATATGATTTTTGGTTCTGTTGGGAGAATCTTGAGGCTACAAAATTCTAGGACTTTCAGGACTACAAAAATTACCATGATCTTTTTCACCAAGAAGACCTGACAGGCAAAATTACAACAATCCAGGCAAAATAGTAAAAATGAGTAAAGAGGAATATGTAAATAATGATGAAGTCTTGGAAGGAAAATAAATGAAGTTCTATGGTTAGCCAAAGTAGACAAAGATGGCTTCTTCTACCCTAAGGTCTATTTCCAACAGATCTAATAATTGAGATTATCAACATACAGGCTGGGCCTGGAACTTAATGGTAAAACACTTGCCCAGTATTTGAGAGGCCCTGGGTTCGATAGCCAGCATTACACACACACGCACACACACAAATACACATGCACATACAGACAGAGATTATTATTACTATTTATTTTATTTTTTGCAGTTCTGGGAATCAAACTCGAGACCTTGGGCATGCTAAGCAAGCTCTGCCACTGAGCTACATCCCCAGTCCTTCCAAATAGATCATTAACCTAAAGTTTATTCTTTCCAGAATTGTATACAGAATGTTTGAATATAAGTCATGTTTATCTACTATGCCTATGATATTGGGAAGCAACAAAACTGCAATAATATAGGTATTGTGTTTTAAGTACTGAAAAATGAGATAAATGTTATCAGTCTTGGTCAAAAATTAGGGAGTAGGGGCAAAAGCTGGATATTGCAAAGGGACAGGTTTAAGAAATTCTCATGTCTATGGGTTAGCTGACAGTGGTGTAGAAGATGCAATTCCCCCTTCCTCTCACCCACACATTCTTTCTTCTTTCTTCTTCCTTGATGATCACAGACCATTGAGTCTCTGCAAATTCAATCTTCACAGGGAGGAAGTC